GTGGAGGCCCCATCCCTGGAAACGTTCAAGGCCAGGTTGGACAGGGCTCTGAGCAACCTGATCTAGTTAGCGGTGTCCCTGCTCACTGCAGGAGGGTTCAACAGGGTGACCTCCAGGACTCCCTTCCGACCCAAACCATTCTGTGATTCTATGAGTCCATGTCTGTGATGTAAAGACAAGACCTAAGCATACACATCGTAGGCATTTGTGAGATAAACCTGAAGGAGCACAAATGACATCAGCATCATAAATGCCCACTGTGTCTGCAAAGGCCAGTGGGACAGAGAGTGTTTAGAGGTCCCTTCATGTTGGGAGGAACATCCCCTGGGAAACCGCCTGAATACAGCCCCAGGTAGCTCTTCTGTGAACAGAGTTCCCTGTGTCCACTCCTCATGCCTTGGGGCATCTCAGACGACCACAGAGCAGGGCGACACACCGCAGGGCTGAGGTGCCTCCCAGGCTCTGGGAGTGGCAACAGGAGGCCATAGAGACACTACGACTGCTGTGATGCACTGCCCATGCCTGTGCAAGGGAAGGTCTCGTGACCCTGAGCACCCCTGTGTGCATGTGGAGCGTACTCACTCACTCTTTCGCTCATTTCTCATAAGATTACCCATAAATCTGACAGTCCACTTGTGCGCACACATGAACAGCTGCCCACACAGAGCTTCACTCCAGAGGAACCTTGAGAAATTCTGGGATTTGGCAACAGAAACCTCATGAAGCTTTACAAGGAGAAGTTGCAAGTGGGTTTTTGAGGGTATTATAACCCCAGACATGAGGACAAGCTGGGACCTGACCCTCTCAGGAGTGACCCTGAGGAGAAGGGCCTGGGCATGAAGAGGAATGTCATAGGAGCCAGTGGTCCCTACTCACCATGAATGAAGCCAGCTGCATAGAGGGCTGTGTTACTTTGAGCATGGCCACCCAGAGAAGGGAATTCTCATCCCCTTCTACCAGCACTGCTGTGGCCACCTCTGGACTTGTGTGTCTGGCTGTGGTGCGAGGTGCACCTCAGGTAAGGGTAAGGGATTACAGGTTGAGGATTTGGCTTAGTCATAATGTTTTAAGTTAGGTATAGCCTAACCTCAGTGAAGTTAATAACAGTGGATTACTGTCAGGGTGAGGAGTAGCATTTAGGGGTTGGGTTAGGGCTTCAGGTCAGCCTGCAAATGCTTGAAGGGTGTTTTCAGAGATGCTGAAGCTTTTCATGGCAGTGCATATGGAGAAAGCCTCCACAAAGAGCACCTTGGAAGGTTCAGACTCGAGGTGATGAAGAATACATCTCACTCAAAGCGCAGCCTTGTGGTGCCAGAAGTCACCCAGAGGGAGTCTGCATTAGCCTATGGCTTTGTGTGTCATAGAATGGCAAGGAATGGGTTGAGAGACATGAGTGAAGGTATGGAAATGCCAGGGTGAGAGCTGCTGACCAGTCAGAAGTGACCTCACAGACAGCATCTGAGGGGACACTCTATGCTTTTGTGCTTGAAAGACCTCTTCACAGCCCACCCAGCAGCACTGGAGAAAGGTGATGACCTGCACCATCCCAGAGGTACCCTTCCTGCAAACCAGCTCACGCACTAGAAGGGTTCCTGGGTTACCTTTCCCACACAGGTGCTTCAGATACCCCAGGGTATCTTGGATGCAATGTCCACCTCTGTGCGAACAACTGAATCAAGTCCAGAATGGAAATTTTAGAAAAAAGTTGAAACCTATGCAGAAACAGAACAGCTGAAAAAGTCTTAATTTCCAGGTTTGCTAGGGTTTTAATGATTTTTTTATGAGATTTTGCTGATCACTCAGGGATGCTGCTAGTAGCTGGCTCCTCAGAGGACTTTGTATACCACTGACAGCATTTGTTCCTGATCATCCAGCCACCTTCCTGCCCACCACATTGTCCTTTTCTTCATTTCAACATGAAGATGTCAGCAATCTGCTTTAAGGACACCGTGGGAGATCATATCCAAAGACTTGTAAAAGTCCAGGTACACAACATGCCCTTCTTTCACTTCACACATGGGTTTGCCAATCTCTTTCTTGTCCTCCAAGTGCCTGGAGATGGCTGCTGGAGGACTTGCCCCATCACCTTCCTAGGGAATGAGGTGAAGTTGACCAGCCTGTGATTCTCCCAAGCCTCCTTCTTGACCTTCTTGAAGATGGGTTTGATATTTGCCTTTTCTGAGGACCTTGGAATCTCTCTGATCTCTCTCACTTTTCCAACATGTTTGAGAGAGGTCTCATAATGACATCAGCTAGCTCCACCAGCACCTACCTCTCTGCCCCTTCCCACACCAAAAGCCTTCTCTATATCCCCCACTTCCAGGCATATGCCCGAGACACAGCACACGCCAGTCCAGGTCCTCTTGGCTGGTTCGAAAAAAGAACCAGAAGTGATTTCTTCCTGCAGTTCCACAACTGCCATTGGCTCTCTGAGAAGCTCACAGCTTTCCTAAGTGTTTTTCTCCATGTCCCACTGCCCTCCAAATTTTCTGATCTTCAGACTGCAGATGAAGGGATTGAGCAGGGGTCTGAGGATGGGCAGAAAAAAGGGCTTTGCCAAACAATCTCAGGAAGGCTGTTCTAGGTGTTACACACCAAAGGATGAGGGTCTCATAGAAAACAATGGCAGTGGTGAGGTGAGAGGAGCAGGTGGAGAAGGCCTTCTACCTGTGCACAATGGATGGGAGATCTGCCCCAGGGTGGCAGCTCTGATGCACGCAGGATGACCATGTGAACAGGAAGGGGAGGATGGGATCTAAAAAGCAGGTCATGAAAGAAAGAGCGTGAGTGTCATGGTGTCACTGTGTGAGAGCTCTGGCAATGGGGTGAATTCACAGAAGACATCCACTCCACTGGGGCCACAGAACTGTATCTGGGGCACGACTGAAATGATTACTGTAGATGATAGACACCACCCCCCCAAGCGAAGGTGCAGCTGCCCTCTGGAGACAGATGTCCCAGTTCATGAGTCTTGTAGAGAGCAGGGAGTGGCACACAGACCATTACTGATCATAGGATGTGGTCACCAGTAGTAAAACCTCTGTACATGCAAAAGGTGCAGGGAACAGTACTAACAATGTGATGAGCAGCAATGGTGCTGTCCCTGGTAACAAAGCTGGCCATTGTCTGGGGAGGGGAGGTGGATCTGTAGAAGGTCTCCCAGGAAGACAAATGCCCCAAGAAGAAGCTCATGGGGGTGTACAGATGCTGGTTTGCCACCAACAGAATGATGATGAGGGTTCTCCAAGCACAAAGACAATGCAGATCATGAGAGGAAGAAGAGCTTTGTCTAAGGACTAGGAACATTCCACATCCCCAGGAGGGGGACTCCATGATTACCCCATTGCCCTGTCTCCAATGAAGATTTTAGGACCTTCTTAACTTGGTAAGGAACCAATTAGAAAAAAAACAACATTTGGTTTGGTTTTAGTTGCTTGGGTCTCAGAAAGACAAGTCCATGCAAGTACATAATTTTTTGTTTAATTGGAAGAATATAGCTCCTTATTTACACTGTGTGAGGTGGATAATGAAGCAGAAGTGGAGTGTCCATATGTCTTTGTGGAAAACATTATCACAGATTAAAAAAGCAAAAAAATAAAAACCCCACCCAGAAAGAATGGCAACCACAAAAACAAATAAAGAAAAGCTGGGCCTGTAATGAGTTACATTACGAGTCCTATGTTGAAGAAGATAGACACACTATAGCTTCTGGAAAACATTCAGTCAACACTTTCCACACTGCTTTCTTGAGCTCCTGGTTCCTCATGCTGTAGATGAGTGGGTTCACTGCTGGAGGCACCAATGAGTACAGAGCAGCAACCACTAGATTCAGGGATGGGGAGGAGATGGAGGGGGGATTCAGGCAGGCAAACACTGCAGTGCTGAGAAAAAGGGAGACCACGGCCAGGTGAGGGAGGCATGTGGAAAAGGCTTTGTGCTGTCCCTGCTGAGAGGGGATCCTCAGCACAGACCTGAAGATCTGCACATAGGACACCACAATGAAAACAAAACAGCCCAAAAAGACAAAAGCACTAAACACAAGAAGTTGAAATTCCCTAAGGTAGGTGTTTGAGCAGGAGAGCTTGAGGATCTGGGGGATTTCACAGAAGAACTGGTCCACAGCATTGCCTTGGCAGAGTGGGAGTGAAAATGTATTGGCCGTGTGCAGGACAGCATAGAGGAACCCACTGCCCCAGGCAGCTGCTGCCATGTGGACACAAGCTCTGCTG